TTAGCTCTTACCATTTCAGAGGTGTTCTTGAACAAATGGACTCACAGACAGACAAACACCAATATATAGCTAGTTAGCTAGATATGATTACTTTTGTGTATATATTAAAGGAATAAATATACTCTACACATACACACAGATCTCTGCTGCAGACATGGGCATAATAATTACAAACTAGGATTTTCACTAACAATGCTATAAATCTGCAAACTATTATATGGTATTATATTAATATGGATGCCATTAAGCAGCATTTATCCCCACGCTAAATTTCTATGGGACATAAATGTACTTCAAAACATAAATGAAGACAAAATCCCCACTAAAACAAGACCAACTGGTAATAAACAAGGTGTTACTGTTTGTGTGCATATTTAGATACATATATAAATACAAGGGGGCAGATCTTGGTTTCAAGATAGCCCCTGTGCTCTGCTCAGGCAGTTTAAACTTCCTTTGTTTGGTGGGAAACCTCGACTGATATAGAGCCAGCATATTCTTTGGTGTAGATGTGCAGGTCAGTGGGAAGGGGAGATGGCTGAAGTTCTGCTTCACTCTGGGAAGATGGATCACCAGTTGCCACAAGTTAGAGCAGGTTTGAAACTGCATTAATTGGCACTACAGACTGACCTAGACTCTGGTTTCTCTCTGCCCCAGTCAAAGATTTAGGAGGTCTTAGTGTGGCGGTATAAAGCCATCTTTGCTTTTGTTGGTTTTTTTGCTGAGACCTAAGGACTGGGGCCAGAGTTTAAGGATTTTGATTGTGAGCTCTTGGAACTGGGATCATGCTTTAGAAGTGTTTGGAAAGTATCCAGCATTCAGTAGGCATTACTGTCAATAAAAACCAATCCTGGGGGTTTGTAGTCTAAATAATGGTGTGTGATATAAAACTTACATTGACTTCCTTTGAAAAGACTGGGCTATAGGAACTAGCTCATGAGTAATTTGATAATCCTAAATTGATGGTAATAAAAAAATTGATAGCACAGATCACACTCACAATAGTGAGTGTGATCATCAGTGTAATAAATGTTGATCTGTGGGATAATACTCTATATTGTATATTTTTGAAGGCCTTGGCTGCATTCTGTCCACTAATCTATTTTTGCTGAGATGACTATTACATACATTCCAAACTTTCTAACAACTTCAAACAGACACCATTTATATAAATAAAACTGCCAGAGAAATATTTACTAAGATCACACAGAGCCTAATCCAAGGTATTGGGGCGGGAGTCTTTCCATCAACTTCAGTGGGCTTTGGATATACTTACTCTTTTTTCCCTTGTGCTTGAAAAACCAAATGACACCAGTTTCTAAGCAAACCAATACTATAGGATACAGGTGCCAATGACAAGCATCAGGTTCTGAAAAACAGACTGAGCTTTATGTTCACAAAAATGTTCATTTTAAATATCTTTAACAAGTAAATGCATTTCCATACAAACAATTTTAAAATTCTTCACTCAGGGATGATAATTTTGAGACGCTTTGCAGCAAAGTTGTAGTGAGGGAAAAGTCTTGATGAAATTCCATTTTTTAAATAAAACTTATACTGATTATATCAATGCTTATTTTTAATGTTTTAAAATTTTTAAAAATCTATTTAAATTTTCACTGTTGTATGAAATTAGGAGCGGTCAGACAAAAATTATTTCAAGACCATAGATAATCTCTCACTTTTTCCAGTCTCTACAATTGTGAAAACACAAATTTTCAACATTACATATTGAAGCATAGAAAGTATATACCATTAAATCAAACTCTAATGAGTAAAGAAAGAAAAATGCAGGTTAAGAACATATCTGTAAAAGTAGATTATTGATGGAAATACTTTTGATAGGTTTGTCTGTGTACTATAATGTTGACATTTATCAACAAAATCTAAGCCTAATTAAGTTGTAAACTCAATGGGGCAGGAGCAATCTTTTTGTTTTGTAGTTGTACAGTGCCTAGGACAATGGAGTTCCAATCCACAACCTCTTAGGCACTACCACAACACAAATAATAACATTGTAATATAGTCTACACAGCATGTGGTGGTGAGACTGCACATACTCACTTTTATATTCATTCTTCAGACAAGCTACCCATTCTCAGGTCAAGGGGCCAGACAGACCTAGAGCCATTATGGCAGCAGCAGCCCATAGCTGCAATTGCAGGGAATGTTCTACTCAGCTCTAACCTGGGTCATGCTCCGTTAGTATGGAATCTCACAGGCTGATATCTCAGAAGCTTTTATAGAGCATGTGTGAACTGAGATTTTTTTCAAAGCCTTGTAACTTGGCCAAATTTAGACAGATTTTTATAGCTACAGCACAAAGCATAACTCAAACGCAAAACCCACTCCTTTGGAGTCTCTACTGCAAATATAGCAGCAAAGTGGAGTTTTCAAAGAAAAGATCATCAGAATTTTTTAATCTGGGCAGAATGTGTGTTTCTGTAACCTTGTTATCAGAAACAGCTGAAACATGTTGGCTAGCATTTTCCAACCAAATTCATCTGGAGGCAGATACCAGGCATAGAAAAATTTCAGTGTGAATGGTTAAAGTTTGAAAAAGTTGTAAGATACTGAAAACAGGGTCTTAAAATGGGAAGTGTCAGGCAATCTTAGGAACAGGTGGTCCTACCAGCCCCACCTATGATATTTTTGTTATACTCAGAACTGTTTACTTATGCCCAATCAAGTAAGGGCAAGCCATCTTTTTCTTAATACATTGTGACAAGCAGTAAAAACACTATTATAGCTGACAGATGTGATTTCATTATTGGGTTATTTTGGTAATATTTGAAGCCTGTTCACTCTGAATGTTCATGTCATTATGATGATATCCCTGTTCTATAGTATAATTTCTACCCACATCACATTTAAATCCTAATGATAAAATACTGATTCCAATATGAGGACTGGTGAGTTAGGACAACACTAACTTCTTCACGACAATTCCATTAAAACCAAAATGACACTGTAGGTTATCACCCACTAGCTTCAATGGGAGCAGGTTTATGCAGTTGTTTGGACCTTTTCAAATATAATGCTGTGTATCTTGTGGCATCAGTGGGAGCACATAGCAGGATCAGGCATAAGACGGACAGTTTCTGTATTAGAATTCTTTAAAATGAGTGCTTCCTGTTGTGCCTCAAAAAGTGACATTTCAACTCATCTAGAATTCTGGGCATCTGCTTTTTCTCTTTATCCATGCCTAGATCTGTGGGTGGTCACAGTATCATTGTCTGGGCAGCTGGTATGTACATTTTCAAACAAAATCTTGTCAGTTGATCTTTAGGAACTGGTTACAAATGGAAACTCAAAAAGGGGAATGCCTTTCCTCCCACCATTGAGATTAAATTCTTTGCTCCTTGTCATGTCTGTTCTCACTGGCTCTTAGATCAGGGTCTCAGGACTGCAACACAACATGCATCTACCTCAGCAGCACAAAGTTCTCCTGCTGAGTGGTCTGAGAAACCATATTATTTGTACATGGAGCTGTCCAGGTCTCTTACTTCAGGATACAATTTTGATGCTTTACTCTCTGAGTAGAACCTTTCTACATGAGTGATCCTATTAATTTCAGTTGTCTACTTATACAGTATTTTTCAATGCAAGTCAGAGTATTGGAATCTGTCCATTAGAAAACAGTTCATATACATTATACAGATATTTCTCTTACTTCTTTTACCAGCTGCACACGTAAGTAGTTTCTCTCATGCCATGTTTGAAAGAAATAGCAATAAGCCATTAATGTAGCTGCTGACAAATGAATGAAGCTGAGATGCAATGAGTGCCTTCCCTGCTGTGCTGAAGGGTGTAAAATAAATTAAAATTTGAGATGTATGAGAAGAAAATGTTCCCAAACAAAGTCAAATGTTATGTTAGCTTTATCTTTTTACATCATATAACTTAGGACTTAAAGTTACACCTGCAACCACCATAGTATCACAATTAGAAAGCAATGGTATAACCTAAAAAAAAAAAAAGCACCTTTAGGGAAAAAAACTAAGTGATCCCATTCATCATGGAGGAAACTGCAAAATAATGGAATTTAAAGTAGTGTTTTGATGAATTTGCTCATGGATGTTTCTTATTAATTCCTGTTTCTCCAGGCACTGACATAGGAATGTGGGTAAGAAACAATGGGTAAGATTCAGATACTCTTACTCTCATCGAATAGCACCTCACACCATGAATAATCCCATTGAAATCATGAATAGGGGAATCAGAATCTGGCTCTGTAAAAGAGTTAAATTCAGCTGTATATATTTCAGCTGAGTTACCAAGAGATGAGGGAGTTCAATATATAAGTAAATTATATTAGCTTCAGAAACAAAATGCAGATGCAAAAATAAAGATTTTTACCTAGCAAGTGCTTAATATGATTTGAAAACTGAACAGTTCGACAAATTTGCTGTCACACAACATACCACAAAGCAAGTATGTATCTAGTTTGTCCAGAAGTCTTAGACTAACTTTTTTTCTCCTCTATTTTCAAGACAACATGCTGTGGTTTCAACAGCAGTTTACTATACTGCCGTTACATCTCTCCCAATACAAGTGTTCAGATTTGAGAGTTCAGCATTTAGAAAATTTTACAGGAAACATTTCAACCACATAAATGAAATACTTGGTCTAATATAATAAACTAATTGTTAGAAAGAGCAAGTATTTATTAAAGAATTACATTATCATTTCTGGTGATTACCAAAACTGTGTATTTCACCACGATTAAAAAAAAACCTTTTATATAATTGATTAAATTATCCCTTAAAAAGAAAAAGAAATATTAGTCTTTTAGAATATACACCAGAAATGTATTGTTGTTATAAAAAAAAAAGTAAAAGATGGAGGCTGCTTTTAAACTGAAGCTATCCCATGTCCCATTAAAAGCAGAGTATTTGCTTTATATATTATGCTCCACAGTGTCTTACTGCAAACATACTTACATTTGACATGGCTAAAACTATTATTTGAGAAGTCAAAAAACTTTTTTTGGTACTTACAGTCTTTAAATACAAAGGCAGGGTCGCGATGAGGCAGCACTTGGGCAATTAAATATTGCAGGGACTCCAAGGTTCTGTCCATCTTGGTTCTGCTTTTCCAGAGTGTACCCACAAAGTATCCTCATGCCTGAATTATTCCAGTCCCCTACTGATTTTGTGCAGTTCATTGATGCTCTGGATTACTAAAGAATCTCTTTCAACATCTGCCAATCAGACATTGCCCAGAATCAAAAGATCCTGCAGGGGGTCCTCCTCCCTGGCTCACTTATCTTTGTTATATGCTGAGCTAATTAGCTGTAAAGGCAGTCTGACAGGCTCATTTCTACTGCTTCCTTCTGTTAAACACACCCACCTACAGGCTACCAGGAGAAGCTAATCATGTGAAAGACATTTCTCTTTCATCCAGACATTGACTAAATGTGCTGAAAAAGACATAGTTTTGGTTTCTGCTGAATTAAAACAAGTCCCCCTCTCCCCCCAAACTCTTGGAATGTTAGGACAAGACTGAGAATTCATAAGGCTCTCATTAGACAAGCCAGCTAAAAGTTCTGCTGAACTCTCCAGAGAAGCATTAGCAATGAAACAACACAAAGATGTTCGTTTTAAGAATATACATACAATTAAATAAATAGCTTGCTTTTGCTTCCTATTTTAATTCAGTAGGATCAACAGTGGGTCTTCTACATTACCAGGCCAAAAATCAGATGGAAAAAATTATAGCAATTGAGTTAGGCAGAAAAATTAAATTATTTGTGATGAGTTTTGTTGAACTTGCAATTTGACTTGACTGATGTTTTCCTGAAGTATTTCCCAATTTAATTTCCTAATTATACAGTGACAGGGAATAAAAATTTGCCTCGACAATATTTATGGTAATGCCCCTCTACGCTGCTTTGAGTTTTTTTTTGGAAAATACTAGGAAAAAAATTAAGAACCTGACACGTATATAGATGCATACAGAAATTAATCTCAGAATTACATTATATGAATCTGATACCAAATCCAGGTACTACAGATTAAAATGTGAATAAATTGATCTAAATTTACATATTAATCTGGGACAAAGTATGGCATTTATGAAAACAAACCATTGAAACAGGAAGAAAGTGCCATCTTGTTGATAAGGATAGCTCCTCTATTCTTCTTGTATTCCAAAATAAATTAAATTTCTTGGTGATAACTGCCAAGAAATGTGGCTCTAATAAAGACTTCTACATCAAAATTACTTCAAAGTTTTAGGCAAATACTGTACTGTTTCACTTTATGAAAAATGCCTTTTAGTTTGCTGTGCATTGATCAAGAGGCTTGATTGGTTACAAAACTATAAAAGTGCTAAAGTTACCTTAAGTGCAGCCATTTAAACCAATATGATAAAATCAAGACACTCTCTGCTGCTAAATATGTGAATTTGTTAAGACTGTCAAGAGCGTTATTGACTTAACCTCTACGTTTCCAAAAGTTCACTCTAAATAAAGTAAACCTTGTTTGAATGACCACATATGAAACATAAACTGAGCACTGCAAAGTTTAGTCCTTGTGTAAACTTCATCATGACCTTTGCTGACTTCAGATATTTCAGGAATTCTGCTGAAAAGAGATTTAATAAATTTATATTAAGCTCTAACTTTGAGGTTCAGTTCTTTCCTCACGAACTTCAGTTTAAGAGTGATGTTTCTATCCAAATACATTGGTAGAATATGTTAAAAAGCATTGCTTATTATGGCCAACCATGAGTGTTTCAAAAGACTTAACAGAACATTTTGAAAAACAAACAGTGTAGATTTCTACAATTCCATCTGTTCTGACAGAAAGCTGAATCAATCCAAATCTTTGCATAGTAATTGGTTCCAAAAATAAACAGAACTATTTGAAAAAAAATTCACTGTCAATGTCCACACATCAAAAGGAACTTGTTCTCTCTGACAGAAAAATAAGTGTAAATTAGAAAACAAGTGGAGCTCAAACCAGTCAAACTGCACTATTATAGATTTTTGAAATCTTGTCTCACACATTCTGAGAGATCACATCATGACTTTTGTTAAAGACATAAGTAAGAGAGCATAGATATTCAAAGGAAAGATTACATGCAACACCCCTGCAAATGTTCAAGTATGGCAATACACAATTATGATAATCTAAATTACCTTACTTCTGCCCAAATATCATGGACCACAGTTATATCAAGAGACAGTTCTCAAACACACGCCTTTATCATATCAATGACCTGAAAATCCAGTTAAATCTTGGAATTCCTTACTTTTGGTAGAGCTTAATAATATATTGTGGTCAGTAAGTTCAAGTGCACATGTCTGTTACAGCTCTTCCATAAACTGCTATTGCTTTGTTTAAGACCATATGCTGCTGTTGGTAAATACAAGCTATTACAAATCTTCATCAAGTAACCACATTAAGAATGTTTTCCCATTGCACATTAAGATTTCAAAACTGAAAGTGAGACTTTAGACACTTAATTGCATGACAGTGTACAATACCAATAAACATCTACAACTGGCCATGCCAGTTGTCTCAAGACTAGTGGGCCGTAGGCTGTAGGGATGAGATCTGTGGAGATATATGGACTCGGGCTACAACTCAAGCTCTGGGATTTTGCAAGGGCAGAATGACCCAGAGTCTGGGCTCCAGACAGAGCCTTAATGTTTACACGGAAATTTTAAGTTGGGCTTGCAGTGTTGAGCTGCCTAAGTCAGCAGATCCAGGGCTAGCTGCAGCAGAACCAGAGGTCTGGGGTCTTTTATTGAAATGTAGACTTTCCTTATATCTAAGGATATAAACCTCTGATGGGTCAAAATCCAAATGGTGGTTTGCATACCAGCACAGGTATAGGTGTATACATACATATGCATACAAAACCAAAGTCCAGTCTAGAATTCTTGAATTTACAGGCAAACAGATACAATTGCACAGAACAAGTTTCGAATGAATAGCAATTTCTCCTAAGGCCTCCATCTTACACACAAGATGTGGTATGTGTGCAAGGTTGAAAGAAAGTGTGGAATTAAGGTTGTTTGGATGACTGTATTTCCACTCTTCGTAGTTGTATTTTATAGTGTAACCTTATTTTTAAATTTTCAGGCTCCCTTTCTGATATCCTCCCTGAAACTACAGTGGTCTCTTAATGGCTGTCCCCATAAATAAAATCCAAGACATAAAACTTAGGTTTCAGGTTTGTTTAAAATACAAACTTTTTCTTTCTAAATCCCCTTCCATGCTAAAAAATATTCCACAGCCCACCTGTGCCACATTTTTTTCTGCATATATAAGCCAAGGCCAGCATAAGGTGGTAGCAGACAGGGCAATTATCTAGGACCCCAACAGGTCTAATACCTCCGTGCTTAGTGGAATTCCTAAAACCTGCTTGCAGACCCCCAGGCTGTGTCCAGACTCAGGGGCTTTTTCGAAAAAAGTTGCTTTTAGAAAAAACTTTACCTGCATCTAGACTGCAGCCGCGTTCTTTCGAAATTAAATCGAAAGAACGCAGCTTTTCTTTCGACGGCGGTAAACCTCATTGCATGAGGAAGAACGCCTTTTTTCGAAAGTGCTCTTTCGAAAAAAGGCATTCTTGAATGCCAAAAGGGCTTTTTCGAAAGAGAGCATCCAGACTCACTCGCTGCTTTCTTTTGAAAAAGCGGCTTGCTTTTTCGAAAGTACTGCTTGCAGTCTAGACGCTCTTTTTCAAAAGAGGCTTTTTCGAAAGAGGCTTGCAGTCTAGACATAGCCCCAGAGGGCCATTGCCGATTTGAAAATCATTGGCTTAAAAGGATGAAGTTGTTTATGTTTGCACATCGATTTCAAAATACATGAGCAAATTATGTACTGAAAGTTATGGCAATGTTCTTTAATATATAGTTTCCAGACTCATCTGCATCAATCTGGTAAATAACTAGATGTACAAGAGCTATATTCATTGGCAATGGAACAGGCATATTTAGAGTCCAAATGCCTGCTAGACCTACAAAACAACCTTTTTATTACTTGTCTTTCTGGGCAAGATTTATATAAGAAGCCTTGGAGTTTGAGTAAAATAAAGGATTTGCTAGGTTCAAAGTCTTTTAGCTTATGGTTTATTAATCTTTGTACAGATACAAATCCCAAATTCTTGCTAAGAACTTGTAAACTACTTTGTTTCTGACTGTTTTCAGGTTATATGATACTGATTTTTCAAAGACCTCTACTTATAAATCAACTAGGTAAGCATAACAGGGGCATGTTGAATAATTTTGGTTTTCAGTTTCTTGTCATTGCAAACATATGTTTTAAGAAGAAATACCTAATGGACAATTTTTAGTCTAATCAGCCACAGTAAAATGTGCCTGTAAAAAGATACTATAGCTCATTACTCCAGTTTAATTATCTTAACCTAGTCCTAATTTAAAAACTGGTTTAAACCATAGGTTTTACAGTCCATTTCAAAATTACAGGTTGAACCTCTTAAATCTGGGATTCTCTGGTTAGGCAACATCCAACAGGATCACAGGTGTTTGCTGGACCAGAGTGCCTCAGTGCCTGGGAATGTGAGCCAGTCAGAGAGTCCAGCAGAGCGGAGCCCCACCATCAGACCAGTGAGCCCTGTCCAGGCAGGGCAGCATTGGGACAGCTGTGGAACCCCATCCCCAGGAAGACCCGGGCAGGTGGGACAGCAGTAGGACCTTTGAGCCCTGTCTTCATGGAGCTCCGTCCTGGTGCAGCAGCAGGGCAGTTGTGGAGCCCTGCCCTAGGGGAGCCTAGGTGGGGCGTGTCAGCAGTAGAGCCTAGTCCCCAGGAAGCCCTGGGTGGAACAGATGCAGGGCAGCCATGGAACCCCCCTCCCTGAGAAGCCTTGGCTGGGCAGGGCAGAGGCGCCATGGTGGCTGGGGAGCTCTGTCACTGGAGAGCCCCTGCTGGCTGGTGGCAGCATGCCGAACCCAAGACCTGTAGCAGAAGGCTAGAACCCAGTGGCAGAGGGGGTGGATCAGAGACAGCCAGAGGGAGGGGCAGTATCCTGGGAGCCTGGTGGCAAGGGACCTCCCCGTATCTGGCAAATTCCTTCATTCGGGACCAGTCAGGTCCCAAGGGCACTGGACCAGGGGGGTCCAAACTGTACAAAACAAAAAGACAAAATTACAATCATGAGGAAATTTATTGACTATAAATATAAGCAATCCAATTTCCAAAAAAGCAAGTATATACTCTGCATCATGGATAAGAGTATTGCTATTCCATTGGAAGTTATAATGCATTAGCCCCAGAAGCTAGCGGCATCCAAACTTGACTTAATATTTAACATATTTTCTCGACGCTGTTTGGTATAAACATTTGCTTCTCCTTTTTGTAACCGTCGTCTCAGAGCAGCTTTCTGTTGTTTTGTCAGTTGACGTTTTATCTTCTGTTTCACCAATTCCTAAAAATAATTAAACCACACCCATAAGTATTTTTTGTACGACATATAACATTTTAGGACATACTTGTTTATATTTACACAGTGCTTTGCACTGGCTAGCACTTTATGCACAGATATAAAAAACGGTGACGAGCAGTGCCTGGAGACTTTATGCCTTTTTAAAATTAAAAAAGTTACTTTGGGGATACTGTAAGTGCTTGGCTTGTGGCTATATTTTCTGGCACCCTTGTTTTTTAAGCCTACACTGCAGTGATCAAACTAAATATATATAAGTGGAAATGACTGATGCTTAAACAGCAAAACTATCCACTGCTACTAACAAAGGAAAAAAAATAAAAAGTATTGTTTGCAGAAGTGATTTTAAATTCTTCCTTCAGCTGTTCTTCTAACATAGTTAGCACAATACCTAACAGTCTAGGGCAGGCATGTCCAAAGTCCGGCCCGCGGGCCAATTGCGGCCCGTGTTCCGGTTTAATACGGCCCCCCAGGTAATTTGGCAATATCTATCTTTTATGGCCCCCAACGAATCCATGTGTATTGAGATGAATACATTGTAAAATCTCAGTTAATGTCAGTTGGTCTAAATCAGTTATAAATATATTTGGACACAACATGTATAGTTGGTGTTATGTTCCTGTTCATATTTTTTGAACTTAAAAGTTGACAGACAACCTTTATTACCAATAATATGTAATGTACTTTACAATGTTCCTGACATATATTTCAGCTTCCTGGATTTTTTTTTCATCTGGCCTTCAGATATGAAAGGCAGAGTGATTTAACACCTGTTTAGATTTGTCATCCATGTGACGAAATGAAAAGTATGCCATTTGCAATAAACTTTGCATAAAATAGTTAATTTGTATTTAGTTTTAATGGTTCAAAGAATGTCAGGCAAAATGGTCGGCCCTCATGCATGTTCACTTCATCAAATCTGGCCCTCTTTGAAAAAAGTTTGGACACCCCTGATCTAGGGGATATACTCTTACAACAATCCACAGGCAAGGAATTGTGGCTTTTTTTGTATCTTGTACAGCCTGAACCACAGATGGCCACTGTAACAGCAGTAATAGCAACAGTAACTGCCATTTACCTCAAATGGCAGGAGTTTTCTAGTACTTTGAAACATACCATCCAGTTATTCATACTAGGTCTTATTTGCTGTCATGATGGCAACATCTCTCACTCTCTCACACACACAGTATAGTAGAGATTTAGGCTGCAAAATGCTCTGTAGTAGAGAATGAGCACAATTCAGCTAACTTGTTTCATTTAATGAACTCACTAGACAGGACACAGATCTCATAGAAGGGACTAATACAGTTAATCAATACAAAAGGAATGGTTAAACAAGAAGTTACTATAAAGCTTGAACCTCTCTAGTCCAGCACCTTTGGGACCTAACTGGTGCCAAACCAGACAATCTGCCAAACCAAAAGGGAAGTCAATATTGTGTAGCAGCATTGCCAATGTTTCCACTGATGTATAGACTCTTAGAAGATTGTTAGAGATAAATCAACGCTAAACAACAACACAGAACACAGAGCCAAGACAAGTAGCTGTAAACAAACTTTACAGGACCATGGCAAACTTGGCCACACCCATGCTAAGTTGACATCCCGCTAGCTAAAATCATGCCAGACCAGAGTGTGCTGGGTTAGAGAGTTCAACCTGAATTTAAAAAAAATCATGCCTGAGCAAGTCATCAGCTGAGGTTTTGGGAGCATATTGCAGCCTCACCTCCTTTGACAGATCATAATGCTCTCCTGCCAACTGCATCAGATATGTTTCAGCTGCACTGATGTAGTGCTGTAGAGTAGCTACCCCCCAAAACAAAAATCCAACAGCAACTCAGACTTGACTTCCCAAAAGCACTATCAACCTAGTAGTGTTGCACATGTGGTATGTTCTTTTAAATGTGTAGCTAAATACATTTACTATTTTTATTATAAAATGTACTTCATAAAATCCACAGAATATAAAATGTAGCTAAGTTAGTATTATTACTGTAACTTTAATCTTTGCATTTCCTAATTTAGGGCTTTTATGATGCTATTAAGGGAGCAATTAAGGTCAAAAAGCAAGATCGCTTTGAGGGTGGAAAGAGAGAAAAGTCTCTACAGATCACTTATTAACTGGCCTGGATGTGTGGGTAGAGAATGTCATGGTCTTGTCTTTCATCCACCCTAACATGAAGGCAGCAGAAATAAGCCAGAACAGAGAGAAGTAAACTGCTACAGGACTGGCACAAATTTACTTCTATTGCGATTTTCACAGTTCGATCCAAAAACTGAATATAGATTTTTTCATTTAACAAACTATTTTATAAACTGAAAACAGCCTGCAATTGAAGCATAACTTTTTCTTTCAACCTCAGCATTGTATAAAAGAATGCAAAGGCTTTTCTACAAAAAAGCTCAATAAAGGATGATGTGGAGGTAACAAAACATGAAAAATAAACACACACAGCACTGAAATACAAAATTAGTTGGTCCATCTATCCCAGTATCCTGTCTTTTGACACTTCAGAGAGAATGAAGAGAATAGGACAATGTATTGAGAGATCCATCTCTCGTCATGTAATCCACTTTCTGTTAGTCAGAGGTTTAGGGATATCCAGAGCATAGGATTGCATTCCTGACTAATAGCCATTGATGGATCTAACTTCCATAAACTTATCTAATTGTTCTTAACATTATACTTTTGGCCTTCACATCCCATGGGAACAAGTCCCACAGGTTAACTGTGTATTGTGTGAAGTAGTACTTCCTTTTATTTGTTTTAAACCCATTATTAATTACAATGGATAACCTCTGGATCTTGTGTTATGTGATGGGGTAAATCACATTTCCTTATTTACTTTCTCCACTTCGTTCATAGTTTTACAGACCTCTATCATATATCCCCTTTAGTCTCTTTTCTACACTGAACAGTTAGGCTATATGTCTACACTCGCAGCTTCTTGCGCAAGTAATATGCAAATGAGGCTAAAAGTGGAATATCGCCGAGCCTCATTTGCATACCTAATGAGCCACCATTTTTTTCAGAAGAGGCTCTTGCGCAAGAAGGAGCGTCTACACTGCTCCTTCTTGCGCAAGAAAAACCCTCTTATTTTCCTGAAAAATAAGAGGTGTAACAGCATTGCGCAAGAGGGTTTTTCCTTGCACAAGAAGGGGCAGTGTAGATGCTCCTTCTTGCACAAAAGCCTCTTCTGAAAAAAATGGTGGCTCATTAGGTATGCAAATGAGGCTTGGCGATAATCCACGCTTAGCCTCATTTGCATATTACTCGTGCAAGAAGCCGCGAGTGTAGACATAGCCTTAGTGTTTTTGATTCTCCTCATGTGGAAGCTGTTCCATACCCCTAATAATTTTTGTGGACCTTCTCTGTACTTTTGCCAGGTTTAATACCCTTTTTTTAAGATGAGATGACCAGACTTGCAAGCAGTACTCAAGGGCCATATCATGGATTTATATAATAGCATTATGATAGTTTCTTGTCTTATTAGCTATCCATTCCAGATGGTTTTAAAGTTAGTTTAGTTTACTGATGTGCACTGAGTGTGTTCAGAAAACTATCAACAACTATGCCAATTTTTTGAGTGGTAACAGCTGATTTCAATGCCATCATTTTGTACTTACAGTTGGGATTAAGTTCGCCAACCTGCATTATTTTGCATCTATCACTATAGAATTCCATCTGCCATTTTGTTGTTCATCACTCAGTTTTGTGAGATCCTTTTGTAACTTCGCAGTCAGCAAGAGAGTGGTTTGCTAGGATATCTTCTGTGCAGGAACTGAACTTCAGAAGATGTCCTTTACTCAATCCAGGGCTTCACAAGGAAGTTAAAAGCTAAGTATTCCTGTTTTCTGTTCAGGTTACTCCACATTCAAAGCTCAAGGATTGGAAAAAAACCCAAACAAATCTGCAGTTCACTTTCTCGATAAAAATAGGATAAAACTATTTTTAGTTATTGTTTCCCTTCGTGCTTGAATTTTTTTGGGGGTGGAGGGTGTGGGTGCAGACTAATCCATTTAACATTTTGTAGCTTAGAGAAATTTGAACGTAAACTTCTCCCCCTGGTGGTTAAAATAGTAGAGGGGTTTTTCTGGCAATGTGCACAAAATGATGGGAGAAATTTTGGAGCATTAACACTTAAAAAAAAAAAGCAGCACACTAAATTTTAAAAAGCAGATTACACATTAAATCTATTTATTACCATACACACACATCAAACATTTCCATTGCAGATAGAGAGTCTTCTCTTGCAGGTCGAATGTGGAAATGAGCAACCAAACTGATGTGAACTAGCTGGAACCATGGAAACTTTTTTTCCTGTTGCTTTATAAATACTGACATCCAACAAGTGAATTGTAACATCACATATACTTTTTCCACATCTTTTTAATTCCAGGTTCCTATAAAATTGGTCCTAAACGAAGTATAATGAAACAGGAAGAAGCTACAATTTGACTATAGCTTTGATTTATAACAGGAGAGAGTTTAAATGGAAATACCTGGTCAGATAACAGAAATGTATCATATCCAATATGACTGAGATGCTATGTAGGGATGTAAGCGAGTAGTCGACTATCTAATAAGCAAATTTTTATTGGATAGTCGACTCAACTAGTCACTTCCCTCCCTTCCTGTCTCTATCAGAGAGAGGCAGCAAGAGGGTGAGGGAGGGAGCAGGAGCTGGTGGGGTAAAGCCGGTTCCCCCTACCACTGTCTTTGCAGGGAAGGCAGAGGCAAAGCGGGAAACAGCCGAGCAGGGACTGCTTCAGTCCCTTGCCCAATGTCGGTTCCCACTGCGGGCGCTTCTGCTTTACAAATGTACAAAAGCCCCACAGGGCTCACAGGACTCAAGCAGTCCCCACTCGCCCCATGCTCTCTGCAGTGCTCCTCCCCCCTCCCCCTGGCTGCCTCTAGGAGAAGCAG